AGCTACTTACTCTATCTTCTAAGCTACTTTTATCTTCTTATTCTTATTAATAGAATATATATACTTTTATATATATATATATATATAGTAGACTATAAGTCTTATACTATATACTAAAATCTAATTATATATATTAAAGATAATATTAAACCTTTATAACTATTCTAATAGATCTAAATTACGCTCTAGTAATAGAGTACTCTATATTCTTATACTACTTCTAGCTTATAAAGAGGTTTATATCTAGTATATTCTATTATTATAGTCTAACTACGTAGCGTAGTTAGTTTCTAGAGCTTAATAAATAGCTTCTTAAGTTAGAAGTAATACTAATTATATTCTATGCCTAGTATATTTAATATATATAGTATTACTAGAGATTCTATATTAAGAGTTAGATACTTAGAAACTATATTAACTAAAGTATTATTATATTAGAACTAGAAGATAATAGTAACTAATTCTTTAATATTAGAATATATAGTTTACGCTCTAGTAGTAGTATAAAGAATTTTTTCTACTTAGTAAAACCTTATATAGTGTAAATAGAAAAAGCGTTAAGTAGAGAGCTAAGTAGAAAGTAAGTTATTATTATAGTATTACGCTTTTTTATATAGACTTCTATATAGTTTAAGTCTAAAGTAGTAGCTTAGATTAGTAAAGTAGAGAACTTAAGCTAAAAGTTATACTTAACGTATCTTCTTACTATATTTAGTAAGACGTAGAGATATACTTATACTAAAAGCTTAATAGATAGTACTAATATATATATAGCGTACTTAATACTATATTATTTACTTTTAATAGCTTAACTTAAGATATTAAACTTATATAAACTATATAAAGTATAAACTACTTTATTTAGCTAACTTAGTATAGTAGTGTTTATAGTATATATTATATATAAGCGTTTTACTAGATAATTAGTACTATAATTTATAAACTTTTAAGATAATATTATAAGCTTAGATCTATATTTAGAGTTAAATAGTATAGATTACTAGGTATAGTGCGTAGAGTTATATCTTAGAAGAAGTAGTAGCTTAATTATATATATACGCTAGAAGTACTAGTTTTAATATAGTAACCTCTATAATATTTCTCTATAATATTAATTTTCTTATATAGCCTTAGACCTAACTACGTAGAAAGCTTAATATAATATAATATAACTATCTATACTATATTTTTCTTTATATAGAATATCTTAAACTCTATAAAGAATACTTTAATATTTACTAATAATAGCTTAGGTTATATAGTAAATAGTAGATATATACTATAGATATAACTCTTAATATATCTAGATAAGCTAAAGATAAGGTTAATAAGTTTAATTAGCCTCTACTAATAGAACCTCTTTTATCTCTTCTACTTCTTTCTATTTTTACTAATACGTATATTATTAAATTATCTAGCGTAGCTAGATCTCTAGCTTATTAGAAATACTATAGTTATTAAGTATACCTTAGTAGTAATACCTATATATTAGACGTTCTGTTAGGCTTATAATAGCTATAATATAGTCTTAATATATCTATTCTAAAGCTAATATTTATACTTTAGTTAATAATATTACTACTATATAAAATAGTACATAAAGTATAACTCTTAGATATACTTACTAACTAAATATTTAGTATTTACTATATATATACCTAGAATTTAACTCTTTTTACTCTTTTATACCTAAGTTTAATTCTTTTAACTATCTTATAGCTTAGAATATATATTATTATTAGATATTTACTATAGCTATACTATATTAAAGACTTTAAATCTAGTTAGCTAAATAGTTTCTTCTACCTAGTATCTTCTCTTCTACCTAGCGTCTTCTCTTTAATATCTATAATATTACCTATAATATTATTACTCTACTATATTACTCTATAACTATACTAGTATACTTTAGCTATATAATCTATATATTCTAGGCTATTTTCTATTAAGAGATAGTATAGTGTAGTAGCTAGTAATAACTATTAAATATTAATTAATCTCTAAAGTAAAGAGCTAGTAAGAAGATAAATATTAGCTAAGGCCTTTATACGCGTATTCTATTTTTTTACTTTTATTTTTATTATTATTATTATTAAAGCTAACTAAGAGCTTAGATTTAATTCTTTTCTATCTTATCTTCTATATACTACTACTTATAGCTCTAATCTATCTTTTTACTAGCTAGTCTAATATTATCTTACTACTATAATATTACGTTTAGTAATACCTTATAAGTGTAAAGCTAAGGCTAGTACTAGTTACTTTAGTTACTTACTATATATAATACCTCTATAAAGATTATAATAAGTAGCTACTTAAGTATTCTTACTAGTTTTTATATAGATATAATAATAGAGGTAAGATAATACCTCTAAAAAAGATAAAAATATTAATATAAAGAATACTATTAGAGAAATATAAAGAAGTAGTAGTATTAAGTAACTAGTAATAATACTAATATTAATAAAAAGAGTAGATATAAAGACTAATAAGAACTATGCCTACGTTTACATCTAAGTCTAAGACTAATAATACTAGCTATAGCTTATAAGTGTAAGACTAAGGCTATATCTAAGTTTAATACTAATAATACTAGCTACACTACGTAAGCGTAAAGCTAAGACTAATAAAAATAGTAGTAATACTAAAATTACTTCTAAAAAGGCTATAATACTCTATAAGTATAAGGCTAAGACTAATAAAAATAGTAGTAATACTAAAGTTACTTCTAAGAAGACTATAACACTTTATAAGCAAAAGACTAAGACTAATAAGAATAGTAATAATACTAAAGTTATCTTTAAAATAACTCTAATACTATATAAGGCTATATCTAAGTCTAAGGCTAAAGAGCTATAACTATAGCTAATACACGCCTAGAGCTAAGAAGAAGTACTTTAATTACTAGTAGAAGTTTAAAGTACTACTACTAGCTATATCTTATAAGTATAAGGCTATAGCTACGCTTTCTCTTCTCTCTCTCTCTAATAGTGTTATAACTAATATATATCTAAAGCTATAAAGAAGTACTACTACTATCTAGCTATATTACTATTTACTATCTCTACCTTAACCTTACTATATAAACTCTAGATCTAGCGTCTACTTCTAGCTACTAGAGAGACTATATAGTTCTACTATCTACTATTTTAAATAGTATATATAGAAGAATAGATAGTTATAAAAGTAAATATTAGTAGTAGATAGTAAGAATATAGTTACCTTATTAAATAACTACTATAGAAGTATATATTACTAGTAATATCTATAGAAAGACGAATACTCTTAGCTACTTATACGCTATTATAGTAGTATATATTAATATCTTAAAAAAGTAATAGTAGGTAGAGATATATATATAAAGATCTATAATATTATATATAAAAGTATAATTATTCTTTACTCTTTTTATTAGCTAATGTACTCTTATATAACTAAATACCTAAGTTATTAAACTTAACTATAATTTAATCTAAACGCTATTATTATTTTTATAACATTCTAGAGTTGTATAATATCTATAATAGAGTAATATAGATAGTAAAAGCTTACTTAGATTTAGCAAGACTAATAGCTAAGTTACTAAGGTTGTATACGGAGTACTACTTTCTAAGAAAAGCGTTACTAAGAATAGCGAGTATGTACAAGTCTGGGCAAGTTTAAATTATATAATAGTGTTGGTAAAACACTTAAACAAGCCATCCCTCCCTCATCTCACCCCCAATTCCTCGCCGTCCTGCCCTCATTATCACTCAGAGTGTCCACCTCATCCACCATCGTCTCAATAAACTTACCTTCCTCTGCTACCGGCACATCGTCGTCATCATCAGCTTCCCACATCACAAGCCTCTTCCGCTTCTCCCTCAGCAATCTTACCTTCTTTTCTCGTCTCGGAGACTCAGAACTAGCGTCCGATGCGAAGGACGGCGAAGGAGACACTGGCCTACTCTGACAGCTACTCCTCAACGCGCTTTTCGATCCCGGAAGAAGACACCTCTCTCGACTCGACGTAGGCGGCCGACTACCCACTGTAACAACAGGAATGGAGTGTTCAATCACCCCCAAATCCTCTCGCTCAACAATCGGCGTCGCAGGCTCATCTTCCACAACTAGAACCTCATCCCCAAACTCCCTCTCCCACTTCTCCTTCTGCCAATCCCGCATGAAACCTGGGTTGATACTCAACCACTTCCTACCCGCATCCGCCACCCCGTCGGGCGTTGGCATGCCTTCGACATGCCAATACAGAAGATACGTGTAGCTTCCTGCGTTCCAGCGTAGACCTGTGAAGTCTTCGACTAGTAGACCGGTAGTTACATACCACTCTATATTCTTGACCTGCAAAGCAGCGAAGGCTTCGGGGTCGCCGATGCGGAAGCGCGCGTTGGGTGGCAGGGTCCAGCGGAAGGGCAGGGGTTGAGGTTCGTGGAGCGATTTGGCGCGGTTGCGGAGGGAAGTGGGGACTGTTTTGAGGAGTTTGTCGGTTGGGGGTTGGTTGGCTGGGCCGTGCGGGATGCGGGAGTCTGTCTGGGGTACGAGGAAGGCTTTGACGGATGATGAGGTGCTGGGGTCTAGGGCGTGGCGTCGTGATCGGGGGTTTGAACTCATAAAGTCTGAGCACTCATCTTCGTCCACTACTTCTAGTGCACTGCCTTCTCTTCGGAGCGCGATCGATGCATCTGCCAGTAAACCCAACGTGAAGGTACCCGTTGGAATGGTGTCGCCGGGGTCGAATGCATGGTCCAAACGGCTTTCTGTCAAGGCCCCTCGGCTGATATCTGGGATAATCGAGTTATTACCGCAGACCACGAGCTCACCAGTGACTGTACGCATCAGAGGAAGAGCTGCTTTCGACTCTTCTCGAAGATCGACTTTTGTGAAAAGGACAGCAGATAACAATAGCAAGGTAACGAGAGAATGTCAAAACAATGAGCAATGGCGCAATAGATGAGGGGGTAGAATGATTGCGGTGGGACTGAACTTTTACCTTATCCATGAGACTGCTGTGAAGGGCTGGTGGGGAGACAGAAGGCCTGGGTGGCTAACTCATGTTCTATATATTGAAGACTACGCTGTTGATAACTCATGATCTTCATTCAGAAGACTTCAATGTGGTAGGTAGACAGGAGGGTTGTGTGATCCAACTTTAGTATATCAAGCTGGCGGTATTGATTACCTGGATTCCGCTGTCCCAACGATGTTCGTGAATGTATCGTGAGGTGAGCCGAATCAAGACGCGGCTGATGAGAAAGCACCACTATACTCCAAACTGCCTGTGAATCGACTATCCAGTAATTGACGATATCGGGCCTTTGATGATACTTGGCGTGAGTGATGCGAGGTCAGGTCGGTAGACAGAAGCAGGGACAGATGCCAAGACGGATAGGCGAGACGATCCCGGTAAGACGTGCAGTGGCGTACAGGCTTGGGGCGTCGCTGGGTCACGTATCTCGTCCATTGCGCGTGCGACTCCTCCCGTATTGGCTGACCGGCCTGCTGCCTTCCCTTCGACGTCCTTCTCTTTTCACTCCCGGGCTGCCCTTGGCCACACGCTCCTTCACATCTGCACCGGCCCGCCGCGTTTCATCCCCCGTTTTTTCTTCTGCATACAACCCTGCTTTCACCTACAAACTTTAACTTGGCGCTGCCGTCATGTTCGTCCCCGGAAAACCCAAGATCAAAACGAGAACCGTCCTCGTCAAGAAGGCGCCCGCCCCCACAGCGAACCCCTCACCATCGCCGCACGCGAGACCCGGCAACGGCACTCGCAGCTACAGCGCATCCGGCCCGCCAGCGAATCGATACCAGTCCACGCCGCGCTCGCAAACAGTCTCGCGGGAACCCGCGCGCAAGTCGGTTTCCGTGTCGCGTGTCGAGACCAACAAGCGTAAAGGCACCGACACGCCGCAATGGGCCAGCAGCGATGAGTCGAGCGAGGATGAGGATACCAGTCGGCTGGGCGTCAAGCGACGGAAGACGCGGCCAGCGAGTAGTAGCACTGAGCCGATGAGTCTGAACCGCGCACTCGAGCCGGACTTGAAGCGACGTATACGGATAGTAGAGCCCGATGCCAAGGCGAAATCGAATGGCGTCAATGGCACATCGAATGGAACTGCGAACGGCACATCAAATGGCGCGTCGGATATGATGAAGATGGCGCAAGAAAACGCCGCATTTAGAAAGAAAAAGGCCGTGTCGGGGAAGAGCACTCTGAAGCACGGCTTCGAGATGACGAAAGACGATGGGGCGAAAGCCTACAAGTCCGCATTCCCCGGTAGCGAGAAGAAGTTCACCGTCGAACTCCAGTACCCCAGCCTGTCACGACCAGAAAAGTTCGAGGCAGTAGCCCGGAAAGAGGTGGACGAGGAGTACAGTCCACTGGAAGACATCTACTTCAGCATAGAGGAGATCATCCAGCACTACCTCCCGCCAGATCTTGCCAACGAGCTCTCCTCCGACGCCGAAGGCACCGTCCGTCTCCTCAAGCGCGCCGTAACCAAAGACGACCCCGAACTCTTCAAGCAAGAACTCGCCAAGTTCAACAAGCTGATCAAGGACCAATACGCCAACGGCACGATACCCCGCATCCTCGACGACATGCACGCCATCCCCCTCAGCCTCGTCAAACGCATCACCGCCCAAAGCTACAACCGCATCGTCTCCCCGCACGCCCACCGCCTCCGCAAAGTCGAAGGCAAAGAAACAACCTACGGCGAACTCCTCACCCCCTTCGTCCACAAAATCTTCGCCCAAACCGGCCTAAACTCCACCCACACCTTTGTCGACCTCGGTTCCGGCGTCGGCAACGTCGTCCTGCAGTCCGCCCTCCAAACCGGCGCCGAAAGCTGGGGCATCGAAAAGATGAAGCTCGCCGCCTCGCTCGGCACAGAACAAGCCTCTGAACTCAAAGCGCGGGCGAAGCTGTGGAACATAGCACTCCCCCGCATCGAGCTCATCGAAGGCGATTTCCTCGAAAGCCCTGAGATTGACGCTGTCCTCCGCCGCGCTGACGTTGTGCTGGTCAACAACAAGGTGTTTGGCGAGACGCTGAACAATCTGCTGTTGCAGAAGTTTCTCGACCTCAAACAGGGCTGTAAAGTCGTTAGTTTGGAGAGTTTTGGCGGCGGTGCGAAACAGGGGGTAAGGAATGAACAGAGTATTGCTGGGCTTTTTGATGAGGAGAGGTTTGAGAGTGGGACGAATAGCGTTAGTTGGGCGGGGGAGAGTGTGGAGTATTTTATTGCTACAAAGGCGCGTTGAGGCGGGCTGGCGATTTGATTTGGAGATGGTTGGTGAGTTTGTATCATATAAGGTGATTGGAGGATATGGTCTTTGGACATGTTCTCCTGGATTTCTAGCGTAGAGCTGGATGGGAGGAATGGTAGGAGCAGCGATTGAGCATGGCACACTTGGCGTTTGATTTAACATCAATACCCCTCGATATCTTCTCTTTCTGTAGCTATTTCAGATCAGAATCGATAAACACATATACATTCCATACCTTTCGATTCGTAGTCACACCCTCCAAATATGCAAACTTCAAGCGTACTACACCCCAGCATACACGCCAAGTAAAATTCTCCAAAATTTGTATCGTAGTGTTATATATACCGAAGGATAGTAAAGAGCAATAATCCGCTCCGTGTATGTATACCAAGATATTACCCAGTCGCCCATCCCACCAAACACAAACACCATATATGCACATCCATTCCCCTTTCCAACAACAAACTGCAAATCCATCCACCGTGTATCAATCATAAAGGAGCGTGTATCGGGTATCTTCCAAACCAATCGAACCGAACAAAAAAAGGAGCGACGTCGCTAACATACAAACGAAGTAGTAAAAAGAAGCCTGAAAATGCAAAGCAGTCGTGTTTCTCGTTATATATACCCTCTTTTCCATCCTCATCTTCCTTTTCCTCTCCCCATCCTAATCATCATGCCGATAAGAAGGAAAAAGGCTATACGACTTACTCACTTGCCTCGATCTAAAAGAACAAAGCCATAGCGCCCAAGCCCACAGCCCCAGTAAACGGCACGCCCTTCACGCCCGCCGCACCCGTCTGCACACTAGGCTGCTCCGTCGAATCCCCACCATCACCTCCACTCGCCTGCGTCGCCTGAATGGGGTCCACAAAAGTATAACTCGTCATAGTGCTCGGCCTCCCCTCCGCATCCGTCGTCGTAATCAACTTGATGCTGCTAACGAGCCCGCCTCCAGGCGTATACGTAGTCAAAAACGTGCTTCCCGCCTCATCCGTCGCAGTCTGCACTTCACCGGCCGTGGGCGCGTAGTCAGCGGCGGACGTGGTGACGGTTGTGCGGCCTGCGGAATCGGTGGTGGTGCGGATGACGGCGGGGCGGTTCTCGGTTTGCGTGACGGTGCTGCCGGCGGAGTTTGTACGCACGAGGGTTACGGGGACGGAGGCGGTTACTTCGGAGAGGACGCGCGTGGTGCGGACGACGGTTGTGCCGTCTTGCGTTATGGTGGCTTCGACGGGGATGATGGCGGGGCGTTGGGTGGTGGTTTGGCGGACGGTGGTGGTGGCTTGTTGGGTGGTGGTTTGTTGTTGGGTGTTGGTGACGGTGGAGGGGGGTGCGTCGTCGGAGGGTTGTTGCGATTGTTGGGGCTGCTCGGTTTGTTGAGTTTGTTGGGTTTGTTGGGTCTGCTGCTGTGTTTGGGTCTGTACTTGGGTGACGGTGGTACCTTGTTGCGTCTGGACCTGCGTTACGGTGGTCTCGACTGCTGGTGGAGGGGCTTCGCTCGCCTGTGATGAAGGCGCGTCCTCGGTTGTCTGCTGTGGAGTTGAAGCCTCAGTGGCGGAAGCGGTGCCATTGCCCGGCGCCTGCCTCTTCTTCAAATCGTTGACAGCGTCGACAATGAGCTTTGTAGCGAGCGCTGGGTTGTTCTCGTGGACATGTTCGACGCCGCGGTGGTGCGACTCGAAGACACCATTCTTGAAGTCCTTCAGTCCGCTTAGTGCTGCTTGTAGAGATTCCTCTGGCAGCGCGTTCAAGAGGTCCTGGAACGCTTCCTGTGCAGTCGCATAGATGGTCTTTGGGTGGTCGTCTCGCTTGTTTGGTGAAGCAGCAACGGCAGTGCTGAACAATGGCAGGGCCAGAACGGCCAGCTGGCAGAAGGAACGCATTGTAGTGGAATCGGCGTGCGGAACGAAAGCGAAGGTGGATTCTCAGCGAAGAAGAACAGAAACTGCGTCAAGCGTATTAGCAGATCGTCATGACTGGAATCAAGGTCGTAAATTGTGTACAAGAAAAAGAACGTAAAGCGCAATGGGCTGATGTGATTGCGAAGACGTCGCAGACTGGAGAGTAGGCTTACACAGAATCTGTCGCTTCCAAGTGGCTGGGTTGCAGGTGTCTGACGCCACAGCCCGAGAATCGATAGCCTGTAGACTTCTCAAGTGCTGATGTTCAACGTTCCCGTTTCTTTTTGCCGACGAGGAAAAGAAAGCGAGCGTAATTATTCGTTTGGTCGTTCGGGGTGATCTCAACAACGAGTGTGGTCTTCGCAAGTGCAAGAGTCAGTCGAAACAAGCGGAGTCGTGGACCGTAAAGTCGGTAAAAAAGGCGTTGGAAGCGTGTGA